ACCTTAGTTTAACTCTCAGCTTAATGGTTAGTAAAATCTCAAAAGATCAGGACAGGAAGAATATTTTATATTTAATGAACAAAGACCACCTTAATATTTCTCTTTCCTTTTTCCGGGATTGATAAATGTTTTTACTTTTCTTTCTTTTCTTTCTATATGTATTTGGTACAGGGTCTGTCTAAGCAGATTGGACTTCTAGTGCTTCTCTTTTCAGCCTCCCCAACACTGGTATGCCCCACCATCTGGGGTGGGGCTGGCACAGCGTGTGATACTAGAGATGGAACCCTGGTCTCTGTGCTTGCCTAAGCAGATGCTTCATCCACTGAGCTATCTCACCAGCCCAGGGGTGATAAATGTGAATGTTTATCTGTTTCAGGCAGGGGCAGAAAGCTAGGCAAAGTTTGAAAGTATATTTTTGAACCCTGCATTTGAGATTCTGATTTAGTAGGTCTTAGATAAAGTCTGGGACTACTTTTTGTTCATTTGCTTGCTTGAAGCAATTATCTAAGTGATGAAGTTTTTTTTTTTTCAGAACCAGGGATTGAACTCAGGTCCTTGCACTTGCCAGGGAAGCGCTTATTCTACTGAGCCATCTCCCCAGCCCCAGTGATTAGGATTAATGGTTTTTATTTAGAAACACAGCCCTCCTCAAACCTACTACGGTGTATTTTTTAGTCTATGTGCCTTAGTTTGCCTCTGAAATAGGGATAGAATTCCAGTTCGAAATTTCCAAATATCTGGTTAAGTTTTAGGTAAGACCCCGCAGTTGTTTGCAAATTGCATAATGGGAGAGATTGAGCCTACTAAAGTGGATCTCTCTTGTCCTCTACCCTCTTTCTACCCCAGTCTTCTGTTCTTCCCAGAAAAAAAAAAAACTAATTTGTGGTGCCAAGAGCTAAGAAGGAGGAGAAAGAGGAGTAGGAGGAGAAAAAGGAGGAGGAGGAAAGACCTCAGAGAATATTCTATGGAAGGTGTATGCAAACATATATTCTACATTCAAACAAAACTCTACTTCTCTCACTAGAGACCTACCCTGGTGCTGCTCTGTATGGAATGCAGGAAAACTTACTTAACCTTTGTCTTGACTTCATTCTCTGGTGTTTTCCCACAATGGCAGTACCTACATTTAGAATGCTATAAGGTTGAAATGCACGGCAGGATTGACTGCAAAGTTTGCTCAGGATCTCACACTCAGCAGGATTTAACTGAAGTCTCTACCGTCACCTTAAACAGCAGCCATGCATTGTTTTAGTGGACAGGCTTGTCTCTAGAAGAGACACACTACAGAGAAGCATAATCTCTCCTTGCTATACTGGCATCCTACTGCAGTTCATGGGCTGAGATGTGTCCCTGCTCAAGACCTGAGGGGGAATCTATTACCACTGAAATACTTGGGGAATACCCATGGTGAACAACCTCAGTCTTTTTTTAAGGAAGTCTGACCCAAGAGGATAAAGGACAACATCTCAATTCTCATTAAGAGATAACAGGTGGCCTCCCCCAAGTCCACTTTTTAGCTTAATTTCATTTGTTTAAATATTTTGCCTGATGAGACGGTATTCAGAGAGTCATTTTAAAATATTCTCTCTGGAGTGAATATTTCTTTATCATTATTAGAAACTTGCAATGAGGCTCTGTGATCCTGGGTAGTTTTAATATTCACCTTGGACAAACACAATAAATCTCCTTTTAATAATTTTTTCCAAGACATAATCTGTGGCTTTGTAAGACAAACATTACACGATGGCCTAAATAATCAAGGCAAGTCAAAACAAATTTCTAAGATTTTTCATAGTAATTCTACATTTTATGTTTAGTTCTCTGTGATCCTGTTCAACTTCTTTTTATTAGCTAGAATACAAATGACTTTGTATGCATTTAAAGTTTCTAGGTTTATGCTCAACTCAACTTTTATTTTGTTGTGAAAATTTAGCTCTCTTACAACTGCGAAGAGATATGGCTTGACCTCTGCAATCCCCTTCCAGGGAGTGCTTGCAGTCATTGCAGGACCATCCATAACATCGCACCAGCTCCCTGTAACAAACTTCTGGACATCTAGTCTTCATCATGCAATCTTCAAGGGAATTCAAGATTAAAAAAAAATTGCAATGGTAAATTAGGTTTACGGCTAAAGTGTTCACCTCAAGGCTTCATGCATGTGTTAATGATTGGCTCATGGGGATGATATACTCTTCAGTGGATTTAGTCATTGATGAGATCAGTAGCTGGATGTGTTATAAGCAGGCAGGACCTGGTTGGATGTGGCTATTGATGGGGAGGGGTACATTTCCCACTCTGATTGTTCCTGAGCTTTCTGCTTACATGCTGGATGAGCAGCCACTGTTTCCTGTGCTGTGTGACTCTAACATCTGACTTATGCCTTGGAGCCTGCAGACCAGAGACTAGAGCCACAAGCCAGAGATAGAACCTCTTCACCTTGGATTGTTGAGCCAGGGATTGTGTCCCAGCATCAGGAAAGTGACTAAGGCAAGTGTATAGTTCTGACTTGGAGTTGCTCTCGAGGTTTCAGTTTAGAAGCTGACTTCATCTGAAGGCTGTGTTGGGTTTGGTGACCCACTTTTATGACAGCTCCCTCACATAGTGGCTGGACTGGGGCCCACTTCTAAGATGGCTTAGCCACAGACTGGCAAGCTAATGTCAAGGGTTGGTGTTTTATCCCACCTTTTCTTCATAAGCACACCTAGACCTAGACATTATGCATGTTTTTTAATGTATTTACTTCTACTGCCATACTTAACCCATTCTTTTTCTAATAAACAACTAAAAGCTGTTAAAAAAAGAAAATTTAGCTCTTATATATTTTCATTTTTGTTAGTAATAAGAAAGTTATCTACAAAAATTCAAAAACAATCCAATTGGCAATTTTATAAGAAATGTTCAACATTTCTTAAGATATAAAATCTAAGTAAAGGCTTTGAGACCTAAGCAAGTGCGAGGACCCGGGTTCAATCCCCGGTACCACATGCTATACTGGTCCAGCTGTGCCAGCCTATGAGGTTCACTATGAGTCCAAACTGTGTATCAAGACCCTGTACCAAAATAAATAAATAAATAAATACTTACATAATTTTTAAAAAACTAAAAAAAAAGAATAAAAACTAAATAAAACTTGTTTGTTGATCAAAATGTGCCTATATCATTTACAGAGTTTTTAATTTCAAGTTTAAATAAAAAGTTGAGGTTCACCGTGTGGGCACCTACCTACCCAATGCATGGTCACCTTCATGGAGTCAGCTCTCTGACTTTTGTCAGTGGCTAACTAGAGCAATTTCTATGAACATAGTATGATAATTTTAGCTGGTGCACCTTATATAATTTATTTTTAATGTAAAGCAATAATAATACTTCAAAATAATTTTATTACATATTTTACTAATATACATGCAGGCTTTTTTATATTAATGAGGTGTTTTTTTGTTTGTTTGTTTCTTTTTTTTTCTTTTCTGGTATTCTGTACAAACCACTGAGCTATACGAATGGTCCTTTATTCTTGTGAGACAGAATCTTTCCTAATTACCTACCTTGAACCTTGAGCTTGTCTTTATGCCTCATTTCTGGAGTACCTTAGCTTACAAGTATGTGCCACAACATCCCATTGAAAAAAACTTGTTTAATGTCTGCAAAATGTTCATCAAAGTGGTCCCTCTTTTCATTTTCATTCTCATCATCAAAATGGAATTTGTTAAATTCTAATCATCTCTTTCTTTAACCCTGTGCCTTTCTTTTCCAACAATGTCAATACATTTCAATACTCTCTTTCATAAGGAGCTACTTCCAGGTCTCATTGGAAGGAAATCTCCAAGAAGAACAGATGTTTTGCCCATTTTACTTCCTGTTGTAACCTAGTCATTAGATGAGTGCTGGAAAGAAAAAGCTCTCATAAATACAAAATCAACAAAAGAGCAAATGGGTGCCTTCTCTGACTATGCTTAACGGCCTCACCTCTCAGGAGGTAAGAGCTCATTGCTCTAGAACATCTGCTTTTGTATCTTCCCCTAATTCCATGTAGACAAGCTTTTTATTTCTGGCCTGTCCTGACATATAAGCCCCTGTTCTTTGTATTCATTTATTATTGTTCTTTAGTCTGGACTACATGATTGCTCACTGTGAAATAGCTTTGATAAATATATAAGTGGAATCATCAGTCTCATAAAAAATATGTACATGGGTTAAGGGTAAGGTTTCTCTAGGTTGTTTTGTTATAATGTATGAGAAAATTCTTTTAAAATTGCCTATGTATTTTATAGAAAATGGTAGTTCTCTTGAGCATTTTAGAAAGCCTTAATAAATAGATACAGTTTTTCTTAGAGGCTTAAAATGATAACTGGCCTTCAACACTGTAAATCATAAAAAGAAATTCAAGACTTTTCCATTCTAAATGGATTTAACACTTCTAATAAACTAAAATCTCAACATGATATTTTTTTGTTTGCTTGTTTCTTTTCTGTTACAAGAGAAAATCACTTCTACAGCAAACAATATTTGGTAGAAAATGCCAAAATTTCCCTGCTCTCTTTCCATCTAGAGTCAATTTGGTAGGATTAGAAGTATGTATCAAATGAATCACAGCATCTTTGCCTGCGCTCAAGTGAGACGCAATGTCTACCCTTAACTCTGCACTTCTTTACATTAACGAGCTACTTTAGAAAGCTTCGTATGGAACGTTCTCCTTAGATCTGGAAATAAGATGTGCCCCTCCTGAGCATCTCAACGGCTCCTCAGACAAGAAAGCGACATACCTCAGGTGCTTCGCCTGTTCTCATATTACCTACCAGAGAACACAGAATGAATTTCAGGGTATACACCTGCAATTATCTTCTCACTCTTACATATGTTATGCATCCCCAGCAGTTTCTTACTGATAATTTTGTTTCTGTTCTAAGAAAAAAGCCCAGGGCTGTGCACATATTAGGAAAGCATTCTACCTCTAAGCCTTAGCCCTATTTCCTTAATGCTGATTGTTATGCCCTTATTCAGACTCCCTTTAGCCCTCAAGTTCTTCCACATTGTATTAACCTCTCTGAATTGATGCACAACTTTGAAGACCTTACCTCTAGAACAAAAAAAAAAATTAAGGTAATGTACAAAATCTGTCTTGCTTGGACATAAAATGAATACCCTTCCCCCTTAACATGTTTTTGTATAATAAACAGAGTCAGAGTCCAAGATTACAGAGACAGTGTAGCAATAAATTTCATCATTGAAGTATGGTTCAGACCCAGCGTGTGTTTTTCATTAATTAAAAAGAATCTATGCCTATTTAATATTACTAGGAAGACTCTTTCCTTATAATAAATTTTTATACATAGATTTTATCAAATTTATATTGCTGATAGAATTTATATAGAGCATGATTACTGTGTAGAATATATTAAAACCTACAGACATAATCTATACTTTCCAAAATGATGTATATTGATAGTTTCATGTTTACTTCTATATTTTCAACATGTAAATGGGTATTGCTAGGGATGCATTTAATTACGTAAACAATTGCTTCTCTCTTGAATAAACTCTCTTATGCAGTATATATTGTATAATATCTCTTAGTGTCTACTTATGTTTAATGTACCATTGTTCAATTTAACCTTTTTTTACCTATTCTGTTTCTAAATCTTTTCTCATTTATCTTCAAATCATATGTTTAATTTAATGTACAAAATATATAAAAGAATTAAGGTACAGATAGCTTCCCTTTACATATCCTGAAAACATTTTGTTAACTTACTGCCATGTATATTACTTTATGTTGAGCAGATATATTCAACAAAAGCTTCTTGCTAGCTATACGGTAAGTTTCATCAGCAACATATCTAACAGAAATGGGGACCATAACCAAAAAAAAAGGGGATACAGATGAATGTCCATTTTGTTTTTGTGTATTCAAAGTGGTTAGGAAAGATATATAGTTACATTCTCTTAATGAATAGAGGGATTTGTTCTGATGGTGTTTGTAAATAGGATATCAAGTCCACATCCTGTACAGCAATTAACCACCAGGAACAATGTATGCAATGTGTTAATTATTGAAACTGTCCTACCAATTTTATTTGAAACTGTCTCAACGGTATTTGTTTCTCAATAAAATTATGGGAAAAGAAGAAAAAAAAGAAAGAAAAGAAATGGGGACCATGTCCTGCTGGGCAGGCTTCCATTGAACCCAATCACAGAAGGCAAAAGCACCAAACCAGACACTTACTGATTTCAGTTGCAATGATTGTAATGTTGTGCCACACACTCAGTTCCCTGTCAAGCGGCGTTGCCAGCGTTATCTTTCCATCATCGGCATTGATGTTGAATTGCCTCTCCAGATCAGTGTGACGGTCGATGGAAAACCTACAAAAGAGACACGCATCTGTAAACTACTTCAATGTTGATATGATCCGTACATTCCACAGCAGACCTTTAGTAATCCTGGGAGAGTCATCGTTGTGAAGGCAAATGAATTGGGAAACTCTGTGGCCTCATCATTTGTTAAACAAAATGACTGAATGAGCCACAAGAAACTTAGTAATTATTGTCCAAGGAGCAATTAGCTGCATATGCAACATGGAGGTCATAAACTGCCAGCAGTTTCAGTAGGTAGAATCTTCAAAAACGGATGTTGATGAAGAGTTAATTGGACAATCCATCATATTTATTACACAGCCTATGATAATTACTAGTTGCCATGAAATATAATTTAAAACAACAATCTCAGGCCCAAAGTAAGATGGCACAAGGCAACATGTCATTCATTCGTGGTTATTCAAGGAAAACTTAGTTTTCTAATTTTTATGAGTGAACTATGTTTTTGAAGTTTCATTTAGTTTTGGTCAGTAATGGTTAGAGTTATTTCATTTGTTGTTGTTGTTGTTGTTGTTGTTGTTTTCTTTGGCAATTAAACATTCCTAAAGAGAATAAAAAAAAATAGAAATAAAAGGACAAGGAGATATCTCAGTGGAATAAGCTCTTGCCTGGCAAGCACAAAGTCCTGACTACAATCCCCAATACTGCAAAAACAAACAAAGAACCAAAAAATACAAATAAAAATAAAGAAAAGAAACACAAATCATACAGAATTTCAAACAAAATAATTTGAATTTCGCAGTATTTGTCATATTCTGTAGTGTTTAAATTAGTTGTACAGATTATCAGTATTATGCATAAAAACTGGTAAAAGAAAAAAGTTATAAGAAGTTAAGAAAAAAGAAAAAGGAAAAAAAGTGTAAAAGGAAGACAAAAATTAAACGTTAACTGATTTGTTTCATTTTTTATTCAAAATGTATTTATTCCACTAGTCTCCATCCATAAAAATCAGAAAGTTATTCACCATGTAGTAAATGTCCTTCGCTTCAGAATAGATATTTTCATATATTTGCAACACTAAACTTCTCTAAATCATTGTTTTCAAGTGGATGAGTTATCAGTTCCTCTATAAAGAAAACCCTTTCACGTAAGACAATAACCAAGATATTTAGCTTCTACAGCAGCTGTTGTTTAGGAACTCATAGTGTCCGGGTGACACAGGCTGTATTTCTGCATCACTTCCTACTGTTGGCTTTTGAGACCAAAATCTGTTCCCTGGCTGGAGAACTTTGTGTTCAATAAGGTTTTTGTTTTAAGGAATGCAAAGCACATACGGGACAATTATCTTATAAGAAAGAAGAGAGATGAATTAAAGCAGTATTGAGTGGAAATCCCAAGGAATTTTTAAGCAATCCTATTGCAGGAGGCAGACTAAAGAAAGTCATCCAGATTGTAGTGTACTCCTAGTAATTGTACAGGAAAGTCATTATTTATTGATATTTATTAAGCTTAGATCTAAAGTTTTACTGATCATATTTTCTTATTCATACTCTAAAAATTCATTCTACCTTCAAGATAAGGTCATGTTAGTATAAGGACATTGCAAAAACTCTTATCAACTGACCTACTAGTCTACCTTTGAATTGTTAGCATTGTAATATTGTAATATGTTTTTGCAAATATTGTACATGCAAGCATATGAATATACATCTTCTCATTTGTTCTAAATAGATCAATGAAGCACCAGGAAGATAACTCAGAGGACTAAGTGCCTGCCTAAGCAAACACAGGGGCAGGGGTTTGATTTCTAGCACCGCAGGTTGTGCCAGCCCCTCTCCTGGGGGCGCTGAGCCAGCCACCGAGATCAGGAAAGGTGATGCACACCTGTAATCTTAGCACTGCGGAAGCTGAAAACAGAAGAATCACTATGAGTCTGAGCTGCATAGTGAGACCCTGTATCAAATACATAACAAATAAATAAAATACAAATCTACCAATGAAATATATTATATATGTAGGTAGATAAATAAGTAAGTGTGTAGAGAGAGGTATATCTATTAATTATTTCTCCATATTTTACTTATTTGTCTTTAAATAGAAATTACATTGATATCCCTTACATTAGGTCCAAAGGCTAAAAAAAGAGGAAAGGTGTGTTTTGTTTAGCAAAGGTTTAAACAGAACAGCAAACATAAGGAAGCCTGTAGCAATAATTTTCAAGTAGTTTCATCAAGAATTAGCCAATGAGAAGTTCTTTGTCACAAAACATGTAAAATGAAATTGCAACTCTTGACTTAGTAAAAACTTAAGTACAAATAAAGCTAACCATGGACTTCTGTCCACACAGTAAAAAGTTACACTATATTGCAACTCCCAGAGTGGGTGGATGCTGGAACAATATAGGAAGGATTTAGAAACTCAGAGGCAGATAAGGATTAGTAATGATCTGAGCAAATTCCTGAGAATGAAGAGCATTTGTTACACCAAATCTGAAATGATCGTATTATGAAAAGAACAAAGGCCATTGTACCGGGGAACAATAATTGATGTTTAGACCAATAAGATGCTGAGATTAACTCTAAAATAGCTCTGCTGATGTGTACAGTATTTTAATCCAGATACCATATCATGCTCTGAATCTTAAAAGTGCTAAGAAATATCCTGAGAATTATTTATCACTTCCTGTGTCATCTTCATAAAAATGTCGCAGGTAATTTTGAAAATTATTTATTTTATTATTTCACTGCTGACATGCCATACAATCATGCACGATAAATTTCCTAGAAAACAGAGTAGAAGAGAATCAATATAATCAGTAATTCTTATTGAAATCAGAATCAGAAACACATTTCATGGCTATGTGGTTGGTATCTGCTAATCGTTTTGAAGGAAAACTAGAAGAAATAGTGGGGAAAATGGTGATGTTTGGAAGCTGACTTTTAAAAAATGTTGTTTGGTTAATCCCTTATTCAAATATATGTTCTTCAAATTACAAAATTGGAGTGAATTATATCTTAATCATTTATGTATTGCTATTAGTGTGTTAATTGATGAATTCATTTAATTTTTAACTTCTTTGCATTAAAATATGCATCATTTATCATTACTTATATCCAAAAAGTGGTTGTGAAAACTAAAAATGAAGAATACATCACTTTTTCACTGTAGGTGCCAAAGGTAGATGACACATCAGTGTTACCAGTGATAACACCATCAAATAAATGAAATCCTAATAAATATCTCTACTTGGAGGGTGGTGAAGAGCATCTTTTGATTATTTATAAATGGAAGATACAGGTATTTTTCTGCTTTTTAGTTTCGAGTTCTGAAAGGCACTATGGGATGAGTAGTAACAGTGAACAAAAGGGGCTTTAAGTGCCTTCTTTAGTAAGTTCCGAGGTAAACCTGTCAGAGCCTTACCAGACTGCACAATGGAAAGAACCCGGCGAAAAAGGAAGAACTTAGAATAATACACAATTTAGAGTCCACTGCGGGTAACTCAAGAGAGCCCTAGCTGTCACTGTAGAAATCACACGTATTTTATTGCTTTGCAAAAATAACTACAGGGCGGCTGAACACTAAGAAATTTCAGGCAACACAGTGGTCAGTAAAATGCTTTAACCACCAAATGAGTCCCAAGCGGTAGTAGGTAGCTTCCTCCTTCACCCTTTTATCCTGTTTATTTTACTGTTAGATTGCTTATCCAAAGGATCTCAGAGAACTAGTGAGTCCCCTCCTGCCATGCGTGGACACAAGAAGTCAGGAGTTTGAACAGTGACAGAGGGCTGTCAGCAGAACCGGACCTTGTTGATTTCAGACTTCTCAACCTCGTGAATTGTGAGAAATAAACTTTCTTGAGTAGAGGTCACCTAATCCATGGTGCATTTTAAAAGCAGCTTAAATAGACTAAGACAAAAATCGTAAAAGAAAGTAAATTATTTTCTTTTCTTATTTTGAAATACACTGATTTGGATATATTATAGATGCCTAAGTATTAAAAGAGAATATGTAAGTTAAAATGGTTCGCCAAATAAGGTAATTAAGGTTTAGAGTTTTCCTAAAATCCAACAAAAAGTGTCACTGACTCTCATCTTCTTTATATAGTCCTTCTTGGGGAAGCTGAGACAGGAGGATCACTACAAGTCTGAACTATGTAGTAATACGCTACACCAAATAAATAGATGAATAGATTTTTTTAAAAATTTAATAAATATTACAATAAGAATTCATACTTATACAATAAGAATTCATTTAATTCTTTATTATTTGCATAAACTCTGGTCTGTATTTTAAAGGTACAACTTTAGCTGCTACTCTTTGTCCACTAGGAGAATGCTAGACCACAGATCCCTCCTACATTCCTAAACTTATTACAATAAATAAGCTTTATGTACTGCAAATACGTAAGAAAAAAGAGAGATAAGGAGTACAAGGTATGCATAGATGGGAAGGAATGAAGTAAGGGGCAGGGGATGATAAAAGGGGGAAAAAGAACTGGGTCAAGTTTAGTGGTTCACGCTTACAATCTCAGCACTCAGGAGGCTGAGGCAGGAGGATTGCTGTAAGTCAATGATAGGCTACATAGTGAACTCAGGTCAGTCTGAAGTCAGTGTAGGCTACATAATGACCTTAAGGTCAGTTTGCTCTACAGAGAGATTCTGTCTCAAACAACATCAATAAAAATAGCAACATGAAGAACTGGAATGTATTATGTACATATACCAGTCCCCAGAGGAATTGTAAACATTATGTACCATAAACATGTACCAATAAAAAAAAAAAAGATAAACATGCACAGGTCCTGGTGTGATGAGGTAAGCTTTATCATGGCTGTTTAACTGGTAATTCAGATAAAAATACTTTGAAAAAGAAAGAGAATGGGTTGTTAGATTTTAGAATTTAATGTACCATGTAAATTGTCAGATGTCATGATTTGAAGAAAATATCTCAGGAGTAGATCCTGAAGTTTCTTTGCCTGTTATGGGACTCCCAGTAGCCTGAATATCTTTCCATTGCATGCAGTAAACACAGAAGAAAAGCCAGAGAAT